ACTGTGTCCAGTTTTGGGCACCGCACTTCAAGAGGGACGCGGGGAATCTCGAGAGGGTCCAGAGGAGGGCCACTCGCATGATTAGTGGCCTTCGCGATAGACCCTACGGGGGGAGGTTTTTGAGAGCTGAATCTCTTGAGCCTTCACAAGAGACGGCTGAGGGGAGATCTTGTGGCCGCCTATAAATTTATTAGGGGAGGTCAACAGGGAATAGGGGAAGCGCTGTTTACTAAGGCACCCCAGGGAGTGACTAGGAATAACAGGTGTAAACTAGTTGAGAGTGGATTTAGGTTAGATATTAGGAAGAAATTTTTCACAGTAAGGGTGGCCAGGATCTGGAATGGGCTTCCAAGAGAGGTGGTGCTATCACCTACCTTGGAGGTCTTCAAGAGGAGGCTAGATAGTCACCTGGCTGGGGTCACCTGACCTTGGTCCTCTTTCCTGCCAGGGGCAGGGGGTCAGACATGATGATCCATTGTGGTCCCTTCCAACTCTACAATCTATGAATCTATGAATACATGCACACACACACTCACCCCCCAGTGACACTCGTGTGCACACACACACTCACCCCCCAGCCACACACGTGTGCACACACACAGCACTGACACGCAGGTGCACACACAAATACACATGCGTCTCACTCCCATCTGCAAATCCAGAGTTACAAAGGCCTCCTAACCCTCCAACCCTGCTTCTATAGGAGAGAAAAAGCTCCTATTCCTTAGACTCTTACAGAAGCCCCCTCACATGATCTCTAGTGGAGGTTTCCTCTTCCCCCTGCTGAGATACACCTCAGCTCCCTACCAGGGTACAGTCACTAGGTGTGGACTTTCCTGATGATACTCTTGCCCCACACTCACCCCCACCCCCAGGAAGGGGATAGGATGAATATGTGCAAGTCAGGGGGACACTCCCTGTGCCATGTCACTCCAGATGGGGAAGGGGAAGGGGGGACACTCGTGCTCATCATTTTGGCACATCCAATAGCCAACAGGACACTTAAGGGCTCATCACATGAGCCCAAGTCCCAGGGATGGGCCCAACAATGCTGACATCCGAAGGAGTGTGATGACGAATCCTACAAAGCTTGTCCAGGCTTCCCCAGCAGAGACAAGGAGGTCTGCCCAGGGCCAGACAAGTACACATGCCTTCCCATCTGTCCCGGCCTCCCAGGCCAGGCCCTGGCACACTTCCTCTATGCAAATCCCAGTTAGATCCTGCTCAAGCATCTGCCCTGCGGTGCTCAGGACCACTGCCCCCAGGAGCAGGTATCCCCTCCTGAGGCACCAATGCCCACCTTGGTCTGGACCCTGCTCCTCCTGGCCCTGCTCCCAGATGAGTGCTTGGAGCAGGGGTAGCGGTGGCAGGCATGGGTAGTCAGGGCCCCTGGTGCCCAGTGCCAGGTGCCCCAGAGTCAGGTTGGTGAAGGTGAGGGGGGCTCTTGGAGGCTGTGGGGAGAGATCTGCATCTCACAGGGCACCCCCATTCCTAACATAGAATCCAATCCCAGCCCTAACCCTTCTGCCTCAGCTCAGGCCATACCAGCCCATCTTGGCCACCTCAAGCCCCAGCTCCTTCTTCCCTGCCACCAGCAACCTCTTCCACTGCTGCTCTTTCCTAGGCCTGTCTCCAGGAGAGGGAAGTGCTGGACTCAAAGGGGACCTTGTGAAGGTCAAGAGAGGCAAATTCAAAGCCACAAACACCTGATGACTACTGTCATCCTCTGGCCCTGCAAGGCTGGGGTCAGCAAAGGGTGTCCAGGGGGTTGGTCCTCCACCACCCCTGCAGACCAGCACTGTGCAGTCCTGGGGGAAGCTGCTCTTCCTTCTCACCACCCTGCTAGGTGAGTCTACATCTCACTGCCCTGAAATATCCCAAAGCCCTTGAGATCTCAGAGACCTCAGCACATTCTGAGCCTGACCAGAGGATCCTCGGGGAGCCCTCAACATCCTCCCAGGTGCCCAGGCAAGGACTGGCATGATGCTTATTCTTACCCTATCTTTGTTATAGGAGCCCGTTCTCTAGAGGAGTTCAGATGCCTGGCAGGGGCGTGGGGGAGGCAGTCTCTGCACCTCTCTGCAAAGCCTCTGGATTCACCTTTTGCAGCAACTCAATCAACCAGCTCCATCATGTGCCTGGGAAGCGGCTGAAGTGAGGGACAGGAATATGTGACTGGTTACAGCCTCACAACCTATGACAATGAGGAGGTGAAAGGGCCTTTCAGCATCTCTAGAGAGGACTGTTGCAGCGCCATGCACCTGGACATGAGTAGCCTGAAAGCAGAGGACAGACAGTCTTCCTAGGTGCCATCAGGAGGTCATCAGAACTCAACACTGGTCCTGCTCCCCGTATGGGAGTATTCTGGGACCACCGGGCCCATCTACACAAGATGTTTACTGCACAGTTGCCTGATTAACCACGCAGCATATACATGCGTCTATTAGAGTGCACAAAACTAATAAACTCTGCAGCAGGGTAGGACTTGTAAATACACTGCTGCAGAGTACTTTGTACACAGAGGCACATAAGTAGACACTGATCAGCTGGCTGGGGCACAAGGGTGCTTCTGTGGGGCGGCTGTCTGCCAGCTAGCCCTGCACTGAAGCATCCTTGTGCCCCATCCAACCCCTCTGCAGCACATTGAGCCCAGTTGACCCCCTGGCTCCCCTGCCAGCTTGGACTGCTGTGACTTGGCTCAGTGTGCTGTGATCTGGGCACACTTGCAGACACGTGCCCAAGAGCTTCGCCCCCTAATGGCATGTGTAGACGCTCCCCCTGAATCTCACTGTGCTGCAGACAAGACCTTCTTTCCTGGGTCTGTGGGAGCCCTTGGAAGCAACAAATTTAGTATTGCCTTGATATTGCTCTGCGTTACACCAAAGATAGTGAAAGGACCGGTATGACTCCATAATACAGGGAACGCAGTAACAGAGGAAATGAGACTTGGGCTGCCCAACTTCTCCTGGACAAATCAGTTTTTATATTTTAGAGCTGGGGGCCTGTATATATTTTGATAGTTCCACAGCACCTTGGCTCCATGGCCCCAGACCTAATCTAGGATGTAGATCTGGACCATGTCTTTACAGAGCAGAAAGATCCCAACAAAAATGGCACCGAGCCTTTAGCATCATAAGAGCCATTTCAGCACTGGCTAGTAGGGCTGTACAAAATGTTGCTGGCTGTTTCATTTTGACACTGTTTCAACTCCTTTCAAGATCAAAACAGCAAAATCAAACCAAAACAAAGGGCTTCAAAACAGCCTCACAACAAAATGAGGGCAGTCCAAATGTTTCACGTTTTGAAACATTTCGAGTTTCAAAACTCAAGCTGGGCTTGCCTGCAGGAAAACAGAAAGCAAGGAGAGGGAGGGGAAAGAAGGGGGAAAGGAGTGCTCTCATACTGAGTGTGTAGCTCGTCAGCGACTGTCATCCTTCCCCAACATCCCTTCCAATTCCAGTGCTCTGTGGGAGGGATGGAAAAGCAGCATAAAAGGCAGCACTGTTTGAACTTTACCGCTTTCTGTCATCCATGTCACAAGTTTTGCTTGTCAGCAGCCTGAGGTGCAGTTTCCCAGAAACCCCTGGAACTCTCTCCTTGAAACTTGACAGGCTTTGTTGCCTCTGCAGGGGATACCACCCCTGCATGTTTCATCTGAATCAGGCATGAACTGACAAAGTTATAGGCAGTTTTGTGGCTCCCCATTAGAGCCTATGGGCAAAAGGTCCAAACAGCATTGAAACAGCAAAACAGTTTCAACAAAATGGAACAGTGGTTTAAAAATGAAATGAAACTCAAAACAAAACACTGTCCCGTCAAAACAGAAGTTGAAATGAAATGGTGCTATTCCGCACAGCCCTACTACATGTTCATTAACGTGCTTTTGCTACCATACATTAAAATTTAGTACCTCTAATGTAAGGTTCTAACTAAATGCACATGAGGCTGCCCTAATGAGTAGTAGCAAAAGTGGACACTTTTAGTGACACTTAAAGTGTAGTAGCTTAAATTTTACTGTCCATTAGCGTATTAGCAGTTTTTGCCATAATGCTCTACTGTGCAGTAAAATAGGCTACTGTGCATTAAAGCACACACGTAGACATGCCCAATCAGTGTTTGCAGATTGCTTCCATTAAGTCCAGGGCTCTTCACATACTGAAAGTGATCTATTCCTGCAATTTTTTTCCCCCAAGAGTAGATAAAACTTTCAAGTACTTGAGCTGCCCAACAAGGAATCTCATTACTGTTTCTTAAGATAACTTCTGAATGAGGTGTTATGTGGTAAAAGTTTGAGAGGGTAGGAAGAAAAAAAGAAAAAAAAAAAAAAAAAAAAAAAAATCAAGAGTGACCTAACTTGGAGTTTCTTTCTTGACCCCTGCAAGTAGGCAGCTGCTTTGCTAAGAACACTACTTATTAGGCTGAACTGGATGGTCCGTGTCTTTGAAATTTGTGTCTCTGTATATACATGCTGGCTATAGAAACTACAAATTTCAAACTCCAGAAATTATCTTTTATCTGTGTTTTTACGTACCAAACTCTAACTGCATCTCAGACTTTAATGTTACAACAGTATACAAACATTTTTTCAGAAAAGAAGGATGACATTTAAATCATATTAGCAAATCTGGTAGAGTGGCTAAGTGTACTCATCGATTTATATCATGCAAGTCAAGTTAAATTAGTTCTAAATTGGGGAGGAAGGCATGGGTAGGATGTAAACTTCCCCTGCAAGGAGCCAGCTTACACCCCAGCTAATGTGTTGGGTGTGCAATAGGTTGTTTTCTAGCTCCTTTTATTTGCTCATGACTCTTAACATGCTGTCCCTCACACTTACCCTCGCCTCCCACAGGTAAAGTTTTGTACTACCAAGGTGTGTAAATTTTGGATTCAAATTGCTTACATGTTCAACTACAAAACCCAGTTGATGTTTAGGAATAAAACCTTTGGGCTGTTTCACATTACAAACCAAACCACTGATGTAGGAGCACAGAAAAGAACTTCAGACACAAAAGGTGTTACAAAAAGTGTCTTAATTAGATGTATTTAAAAATACAAGGAAAGTTGTGTAGAAATAAAACAGCACAATTCTGTTGTTATATAGCACAGAATCCATTTGATTCTGCATACTGGCCATGCATTATGTGATCGTGTGCCCTAGTGTGTATTCCCATAGAAAAACTACCTAGAATTATCTCAGCACAGCTGACAACCAACTATTATCAGCTCAAATGGCATCATGTTATCAGGCTGCCACAGTTTCAATAGTTGCAACACAACTGGAAGGTTTTGTAGACAATGTAAGATTAAGTTCTACCAAGAATAACAAATGGATGGATGTCTTGGAGGGCAGGATCTATTTCCTCCCAATAACTTCCCATTAAAATCAATGGAATTACATATAGAGAGGTGGGGCCCTAAGGAAGCATACTGCTTATCCTGTGTCTATAATGCTACTGTTTTAATATAATAAAAAAGTAATAAAAATAAAACAACTAAGAATTAAATATTTAAAAAGTTATAAAAAGGCATCAAACAACATTCCGCAGTTAAACTATTAAAAAAAGTCAGGTTTTTAGAAGGGAAAAAAAGCCATCTTCATATATAACCACTGACTAGTGGTTGTGTGGGAGGTGGGAGTTTGTTTTGTTTTTACAGTAGATGAAACTTTGCTGGTTCTTCCATTTGACACAAGCCTGGCAATATTCCTACTTCAAGGTCCACAGAGGTGCAAATAGTTGCCAGTTCTGAAATCCAGGCTTCAGTGTGAATCAAACAGCAAATGGTTTCTTCAGACTCCCTTGCAAAAACATTTCTTGCTATACCCAAGAGTCTCATAATAAAACATCCACTCTTCTAGAACTAGAAAGACTCAATACGTTGTCTTAGTGGTGTTGGAGCTGGAAGAGTAAGAACTGGATTTCTTGGGATACCTACTTGATGAGAGAGAGACTTGCATCCTCTTTGTAGTTCGCACACTTCTGCAGAGAAGAGCATTTTTAAGGTTATCCCTGAAGTCTTTTGAAATAAAGTAGTAGATGAATGGATCAATACAACTGTTTAAAGTAGAAAGACAAAGTGCTGTTATATATGCTGCATAGACATTGCTCTGGCCATGGGTTTTGATCATAAAGTAGTGCACTACAAGAAGAACATTACTAGGTGTAAAACAGATCAAATACATTGATAGTACTGTAATTATGAGCTTGATGGCTCTTTTTCGCTTCTTCCCTGCATTTACATCAGTGATGGAAGCATTCAGAGTCTTAATCATCAGTATGTAAGCAACAGCAGTGAGAAGGGCAGGGAACAAGAAGACTCCAATTGCTAGAGAAAGGAAATAATTAAACATGTCATGAGCCAGAACATTCTCTGGCAGCACATCATGACAGGTAGTGATATTAAGATTTGAAATATATGCTGTTTGATCAACAACATACAATGGAACAGTGCTCAGCAAAACCAGGATCCATATAGCAGCCGAAATTCCCAATGCAAATTCAGACTTCTTCCTAGAGCGCAGTATAGGATTCACTATGACCCAGTATCTCTGTACGCTGAGACATGTCATAAAAAGAATGGAACAGTACATATTTCCATAAAAAAATCCAACGAGTACTTTGCAGAGTCTTTCACCATAGATCCAGTTGTTGCCATTTATATGGTACGCGATCTTCAGAGGGAACCAGATAACAAACAGAAGATCTGCCAGTGCCAGGTTTGCCATATAAATCACAGCTGGGTGTTTCTTGTTTGTTCTGAAGAAGAAGACCCACAGTGCCATGGCATTGCTCGGTAAGCCAATGATGAACACAGCGATATAGATTATAGGAAGGAAAACCGTAGTCAGATTTCCTGTGAGGACTTCTGTTGCAAAGTCATTCACAACATAGGATTTTTCAGAGGCATTATTTGTAGTTTCAACTTTATGACCAATGAAACTTCTTCCTTTTGTAGTGTTTCTCACTGAAAAGGAAACAAAATTGATTAGTATAGCATTACAGATGTAGTTATTTCTTTTCTTTTCAAGGAAAAAAAAATACATCCAACTTCCAGGAAGAAGATCTCTTATAAATAGGAAATAAGATCATTGCTAATTGAATCTCCTTTTTTATTAATTAACCAACAGCAACTTGTTTATAAAGTCACAGAAATCAAATAAGTGTTTGCATATGCAGTTTCCATACATGGGACAGATAGAGATGAGACAAGAAAATAATATGTACCAATTAAAACCTAACTCTTTGAAACTTATTAAAATAACTAACTGAATTAGAGGAAACAAAATGCGAGGCAACTGTAAGCACATAAAAGGCTCTTCCCCATCCCCCATCAGAGCATTTCTGGTAAGCAGTACAGCTATGCCAATAGTTTTCCTAATGTAAACAAATACTTAAGCCATTCAGTCTTCAGTCTAAAGAAGAGAGACAGTCCTAGCATTTGTAACATTTGGGAGGGGTTGGGGGAAAGAGGATCAAGCTAGACAGGGAACCAGGAACCAAGACAGCATCCAGGGAAATTGCGCCAGTCACATCACTGTCAGGCTCCCTGCACGATTGCAGATAAATTACCATATTTTCCTCACATACAACATGCACCTTCCTCCCCAAAATGTCAGCCACCCAACACCGGGGTGCACATCTTAAGTTAGGATCTGTTTTCTTTGCTGGAAAAGAAGGAAAGCCAGAGATGTTGCATGTCCGTTCACCTGCCAAGATGGCTGCCACTTGTGTCTGGCTCAGCAAAACAGAAGGGGCAGAAGTCCTGTGTTAACCCTCTCACAGCTACAGCTATTGGCTAGGCACAGTAACTTGCATCTGAAGCAGCAAGCGAGCTGCTAGTAGTATCTTGATGAGGCTTGTGATGTGGAAACAGTACTTTATTTACAAAAAGAGCTACTTGAACTTCCTAGCATCTCCTAGGATGACACACTTCTAGGCCACTGTGTTCCCAGGAGGACTTACTGTGTCACGCAATTGGCTATGACTGGAAAAATGTCAGAATACAGGAAAAATACAAGAAGAGTCATGTTTTATTTGGGTGACATGCTGTGTGCAAGAAAATATAGCAGGCTGTTTCTGCTCAGTTCCCCCACCTATAAAAACGGGTATAATTTGGTATTTCCATAAGCACGATGTGAGGACAGTTGTTTGGGAAAAAACAAAATCAACCCACATTTAAGAAAGTTTTAGGTGCTCAGATATGATAATAAAAGGGAACTGTATGGGTATAACAAACAAAGCTGTATCAGTGCTGCTTAACCCCAGACTTACCCCCTAACCAGTGGGCTCTACATATCAAAGCTAACCGTTCAGCAACAAACCCTACACTATGTCTACTGTCTAATTACAGCACATGCTTCCTTATTTTGGCAATTGTCCAATAACTGCCTATAAGGTAAGAGCAATATGTGGTCTTTAGGAATCAAACTGGTTACAGTACCATACTCCAGGTTCTAATCCAAGGGGGTGTTTTTGTTAAGAGATAACAATGCCCGTATCTGCTCAAAAGTTGAACAAGTTAGATTTGTACATAAAAAAGGCCCCACACAAGAAGGGCTTGTTTCCTCCCCCAATTCACAGGTTAGGGTGGTCAGGTGGCTTTTGTGCAGCCCTGCAGCCACTACTCCAACCACTGGACTAGGAAAGCAGCTATAATTTGAATTCGTAGCTATTTGGCATCCTTAAGGTGCATCCTGGCATAAGGAGAAAGGATGGCTGAAGCCACGTTTTTATTACTGATATTTACAGCAGGTGCCTGTACAGATTCCTAGGTAAAAGAGAGGAACCAATAGCAGCTTGCATGATTCATGACAGCTTCCTTGAAGACCGAGTCAAAGGCCAGAGCAACTGGAAATCTTTTGTAGTGCTTTAACCTTCCAAAGGTCACCTATGGCAACCAAACAGCATTACTCTTTTTACTAAGGCCTTGACAAAATCAGAGAGGTAGTTAGCTGTGTTAGTGTGAAGTCAATTAGAAGGCAGGATAGATATGTACCTTTAGAGAGTAATGAAATAAAATTTAGTTAGTTAGGTGTGTGGGGAGCAGAGGGAGGAGACGGAGCACTCGCATTCATGAACCCAAGTTCACTTCACCAGATGCTGTGAAAGGATAACATAGAGCAGCATACAAAATAGAACAAGTAATTGAGAAAGTTGGGGGGGAGGCAGAGTGCTGCAAGGCAAACAAGCAAAGAACCCATAGGAACAAGATTCTTATCCCTGATTAAGCCATATTTAACCGTCCAGTTTGTGGATCATTTCTTGTTCCTCAAAGTCAGCCATAAATTCTCTCTCACCCTGGGATACAGAGTGCCTTTATGAACTCATTCCATACAGTTAAGTGACAGCTAAACTTTAAGTAATGACATATCAAGTTGTCAATGAGAAAACATTTTCATGGAATGGGAAAGTTAGGAGGAGACTGCAGCTATAAAACGCAGAAGCAAAGGAAAAAGCCTGCAGTAACAGGCTCATACACAACAGCTCATGAACAATAAGCACATTTTGATAAATAGCCAAGACTGTTTAGTTTAAATACCTTAATCCTTTAAGTATTTACACTAAACAGAGAAGTCTTTCACACCAGAGTTTTCCACATTCCTTCATTCTTTTATAACTTCCCAAAGAAGAGTACAATATGATATTTCCTGCTAAAATGCAAGCCACAAAGGTGTTTACACAAATATCTACACTGGCAGTAATCAGGGTGTTCAATCAAATTAATCTAGCTCAAGAAACCCCACACATTTACACTCCCAACATCTTTTTTCCTAGCCCAAACAAAGGCACATTTTTGCAACTAAATAGTCTACTCTTTTTTTTTTTTTTTAAAGGACTGCTGGTTTAGCTATGCAGACAGTTTATACTGAAAGATAATTTGTTTTACTAAGATAAACCATTACCCCAAACAAAAATAAGCTAGAATGGCTAGAGCATGTTTTGACAGTATAAGCTGTTTCTACTCTAGGGCTTTAACTAACCAGTCTTGTCAGTTATAAATGTCATTTTACCCACCCCAAACAACAGAGCTATGCCAAGAAAAAATGAGTTTTATTATATAGCAATTTAAAAGTGCTCCACAAAATTCTATTAGTTACATTGGCAAAGGCCCTTGTATAGATGTTCTCATACCAATACAGGCTTTTCCTCTTTTCACCCATAAGCAATACGGATGCGGTGATCACTTTTATAAGAGTAAATGCAGTGCTAATTTCCTTGCATAGATGCATTAACTAAGCTACAGGTGGTGAACCTGTAGCGTACATGCCACCAGTGGCACAGGCAGCCTGTGTGTGGCATGGGGCAGATCAGGAAGAAGGAAGAAGGCATAGCAGCAGATAGGGCAGGGAGCAGACAGCAGAGTAACAGAGGAAAGGGATCCGAATGGCACTCAGGGACAGCACAGGACTTAATTTATGGCCTATCTGACAAAAGGTTGACCCCCCACTGAACAAAGCTATAGGCACAGATAAACCAGTTCAACTTTTTAAAACTTAAACAAAGTCTACCTTACTCAGTGGGCTTTTAAGAGCTAGTGAAGCATATCAGTCTAGATTAGAAGCTCTCAAAAAACAGGGCTGAGGTGCAATGTCAAGTAGCCTGTCAATCAGTAACCAGCTATACACCTAGCTGAAGTTTAATAATGCTTACATATGAAAAGCTTTGAAACCTTCTATCATGAAAGCAAAGGTATTCTTCAGTGAAAACCATAAAATCTATATAACCCCTCAACCCCCTCCTCCCAACCCATGTCTTAGCAAAAATGAATAGGCGATTAATATCAATGCAGATGATAAACATCTAGTTACGAATGAAATTATCAGCACTCATTTTAAATATTTCTCTTCCAATACGCATCAATTTGATATTCTGAATTTCAATGTCTAGTTATAACACTGATTTGCACAAATTCCGCCTTTTTATGTAAATTAAGGTCTATACGCATTTCATGCTGAAACATTTGGGGTTCTAGGTGACTATAAAAGGAAATTAAAGGGAGAGTAATAAAAGCCATTTAGCAGGATAGACTTGATATAATTAACACTCTATCCTGGTGTAAGCAGTGCTTTGTTAACCAAATGAGTTTTCTGTCTATTGTACTGTGCATTTTGTATTGCATTCCATAGCAATTGAGAAGGTTCGTGTTTCAAACAGCTTCATTCTTCCAAGTTAACCACACTAAATCAGTCAGCCAACTTTCCTTTAGGGAAACTTGGGGTGGAGAGCTCTCTCTGTCCCTTAACTCAGAAGCCTGTTTCAACACAGTTAACATTTGTAAGGAAGATATAACCCAATTGTAACCAGGATGCATACCAAACTAAAGACCTATCTCTACTGCAGTCACATAAGCATAAACTTAAGTGACTGCAGTTTACTACAGACATACCCACACAACAGCTTTAAATTAATCTAGCCACATCTGTATTAAGCCCAGAGTAGCCATTTTACCCAACTCCTTGAAAAGTTCAGCATAAACATGCCTTAAGGCCTCAATACCTTTAAGCCTCATTTGCAACAGGGTCAGAACTAGATTTCCTCCACTTTGCAGTGTACGTTACCAACCTAAGTCAGGGAGAGCCCAAACCATTGCACGCCAATCAGTCTTCTGCTAGTAGGAGATACAGTTCAACCAAGACATATTTAATATCTACCTGTTACATGCCATGTCAAGAAGGTATCTTATGACATTGGTTTACACACTGATCAGCTTCACAACAAGCCAGACTGATCCAGTTCCCCTGGGGACTCCCCTTCCCCCCCCCCCTTCCCCTCCCTCCTCCAAAGTCCTACATTATGAGTAATGTCAGTGGCAAGAGAATATACTACCCACTCACAAACATTGACTCACAAATGTTAGCCAGCCAGCCTGCCCTACTAAACATGGCTATTCCCCAAAACACAATTAAAACCAAACACACAATTGTAAGGATTTAACACATCAGGTTTAATTTTGAAACAGAAAAGAAGAAAATAAACTGGGTAACACTTTTTTTTTAAAGCAGCTTTATTTCAATTTAGCCTTAAAGTAAAATAGCTAAATCAAAAGAACCTATTTTATATTCTGAAAAAGAGTGTCCATACAAGTCTTCATAGATTTAACCAAGTTGTTTGTGTTTAGACAATGCTGGAGTTCCAAACTGTGGGACAGACAGGGACCTACCAAAGCTTTGGTGATCAGCACAATATTTATATGACTATTTGTAATGTAATGTAAACTAGATTGAACTTGTATCCACACAGAAAGAATTCAACAGGATGGGAAATGCTAAAGGAGTGCCCCATCAGCAGGGGAGGGGGGGCGGGGGGGGCAGGGGGACGACAAATAATGGTTTCTGTTGTGAGCTACTGAAACTTGCACTTCAAAGCAGTGAAAAGAAACCAGATTTAAAAACAGTAACACAAAAGTGGGAAGTAGCAAAGCTAAGCAGAGGCACCGAGCCCGTTCTCAGGAAGAGGGCTGTCACCCGAAATGTGTAAAACTTCCCACACGTCTATCATTTTAGCACTCCCGGCAAAAATAAAAGTTGGCGCTTATGACACTAAGGATTAAAGGGAAGCCATATTAGAGACATGGCATCAAGGTCACAAACTACAGTACAATTCATTATAACAAGCTCTGTTTATAACAATCCCCTGCCCCACGTTTAACACCGCCAACAGCCAAAACCATCTTTTGAATTGCCAAATCTGATTAGAGAGAACATGACCTCAGACCAGCAGACTCCCCATCCCTGAAGAAGGGTGACTGAGCCCGAAAGCTTGACAAAAGCTTTTTTCCATCTACTCAGTTGGTCTAATAAAAGACATCACGTCTACTGGAAGAACCTTCCTTGCCACGCGCCTTCAGTGAACTTTTCCCAGGGTCCCACGAGGTTCCTTATAACGAGGCCGTGGTACAGGGCGCAGCTTTCACAAGGCAGACTAAGTCCTTACCAAGTTTCAGTCATTTAAGGTTGGGACAACACCTCCTTCCCTAGCTGGATTCACACGCTGCCTCTTCTAGCGCCCAGCCTGGCCTAAGTATAGACAAGATATCCCAAGAAGAGATAACTGGGCTATTGGTAAGGCAGACTAACAGGACACAGACGGCAGGGCAGCACTTTCCAGACTAAGTGGTTGTGAGCAGGGTGAGCTTTCCTAGGCAGGGATGGGCATAACAGGAAAACACGTTTGCACGTACACACGCCCCCGGGGGCCAAGTAGCTGCTCCGACTGCCCAGTCCCGGGCACGGCTCCCTCTGGGCCCCGCGCCCCTACCCGCACACGCGCCCCCCGACCTGCGCTGCTCAGAGCGAGAGCGGGGCCGGGGCCGGGGCCGGGGCTTCCCCCCCCCGCGCCCAGACCCT